TATATATATGTGTGTGTGTATGTGTATGTGTGTGTGTGTGTAGATATATATATATTTTTTTTTTATTATATATATATATTTTTTTCTCTCTCTCTCTCTCATATATATATATATTTATATATATATATATCTCTCTCTCTCTCTATCTATCTATCTCGTAATAACTTCGTATAGCATACATTATACGAAGTTATACGAGAAATATCTGACTCCTTCAGTATGCCAAAGTTTATATTGATGCTGACATTTAGAGGTTTTCTGGAATATTTTCTGTATATATATATATATACAGACACACATATCTATATCTATATCTATATCTATCTCTCTCTATCTCTATCTATCTCTCTATCTATCTATCTATATATAAATATATATATATATACATAAAATATTCCAGAAAACCTCTAAATGTCAGCATCAATTTAAACTTTGGCATACTGAAGGAGTCAGATATTTCCTTACCACATTAGAAGTCATATTTGGTCTTCCTAAGCAAACATGATATTTTTCCTGCAGCATGAAAATAAGAAAAGCAAAAGACCTGTAAAAAATGCACTAAGAGCTTATTGCCTTTTAATTTTCTCAACATGTTATTCTGTTAAGAGCTGACATCTGCTTCCAACCTACAACCTACAGCATTTACAAAACCTCTGATAGAAAATTAAAATACCTATAGACATATACAAAAACGTAAAAACTATTCACAGCATTAAAAGTCAGTATCTACTGTCTTAATTAACTATTTTATTTATATCTCTGATGTAAAAGGCCCTAGATACAGGAGCCACAACACACCCAGTAATTGCTTACCTAAAATAAAATTTTAAAAAACTCATAAAACTCACGGGCTCATTCCTGCTCTTGGGTCGAAAGCCAGGTCCTGGAGGCAGGTTCTTGTGAACACAGCAGTTGACACCTGGACTGAAGTGTAGCTCAACGTGGAACCTACGAAATACAAAGGCATCCCTTGTAAACTGTTCTTCATTTAACCTTTCATTTCAATTAATCAGAATCATAACACACACAAATGCAGCAGTTCACAATTGTAAATTAGAGTTATTATGACACATGCACACCCAAAAGCTAATGCAAATGCAGACATATATGCACAAATACATAAAGCGCATACATCTGCATTACCTAATTATCACTAAAGCTTTTGTAACTTCCTTCCAAATACAGCAATACTCACAGCTCATCAATGGAGCAAAAGAAAGACACTTACCTCTCCCCCATCACTTGTGAGTCATCTCTGTCTCAAAGAAAGAGAAAACGGATCAAGATAAAGAGAAACCAATCATGGGCAAGCTCAAGGACTAATGAAGGGAGAGATATGAATATATTTCAACTGAAAATATTGCACAGATGTAAATCACATAGTCATCAGCAGCACAAAATCAGTTCAAAATGTAATAGCATAAGATGGGCATCAGAATATGCAAGCTACTAATGATACTTTAGCAAATGCCAATAAGCGTACATTCAAAAGCGTGTGCCAGCATATACAGCCATTTAAAGATATTCAGCTTAATCTTTACTTAGGGTTGGTTCACAGTTTTCAACAATTTCACAAGTGTACAAAACGTATACTTTTTGGATATCCCCCTCTCTCCCTTAAAAAGTGTACAAGAAAATGTTGATGTTCACGGAGGTTACTTTATTCCTATCATCTTTGTATGAAACATCTCAAATAGCTGAATAACTGGATAAAATATATACCACTGTTTATTTTCATAAAAGAAATCTCAATAGTCTAAAGGAGTGGAAATATTTTGCATGCGCAAGAATAGTGCCAGGTGAATTATACAGCATATATCAAACATACCAACACACAAACAAACAAACACAAACAAAAAATTACGCCTTTAAAATTTGGAAGAGTACACCAGTCGCTGACCCCCTCCCCTAAGTATGGTTTGTATGCTTGTGAAAATTTTGAAAATTGTGAACCACTTCTTAAATATGTGTGTATATAAAATATACATATATATATATATATATATATATATATATATATATATATA